TTTTTTCTGATTATGAGGATCTGAAAATGGTTTTACAAATCAGAACTACTCCTTTTTGGTTTGTACAACAAAAATATCATTAATACAATAATTTTTATTTAAAATATTATATTTTAAAATAATTAATTATTGATAAAAAAAAATAAATTTTAATGGAAAAAATTTATTTTTATTAATAATTAAATTATTAGAATGTACTTTACTTATTTTATTTTATTTATTAAAAATATTTTAATGTATTCATGAACTGGATTGCATTTTTAAACTACGGGTAAACATCGGTATCCGACACATACTTATTATTTGTCGTTATCTGTCAGATATTTTTTTTGGCTACTAGATATTTTATCGGATAATGTAACGGTCAATTTCGATTCAGTGACATAATGTCCTGTTTATGTGTGGCGTATTTGAATTTTAAAGATTTATGTTTTCCTTTTAAGACAGAAGTTTAAAATTAACATATAATTTATATTATATTATTAAATAAACTAATATATATAATATTATAAATTTAAAAAAATAAAAAATTAATTGTTAAATAATATAAATTTATTTAATGTAATTTATATGTCATAATTAATATTAAAATTTTATTTTATTTTTTTTTTTTTTAGATTTTAATAACTCTTTTTAATAACTAAAACGAGAAGTGCAAAACAAATGCGGGCGTACCATCATGTTTTTTTTCTGATTATGACGATCTGAAAATAGTTTTACAAATCAGAACTACTCTTTTTTTTAGTTTGCACAACAAAAACATCTTAATGTACCAAAAAAAACAAAAACATTTTTAATACAATAATTTTTATTAAAAATATTATTTTACAATCTATATAATATAGATTGTAAAATAATTAAGTATTAATAAAAAGATAAATTTTAATATTAAAAATTTTATTTTTTTATCAATAATTAAATAATTAGATTGTACTTTATTTTTTTTATTAAAAATATTTTAATATATTCATGATCTGGATCGCATTTGTAAAGTGTGTAAAGTGTAAACTATACAGGTAAGCATCGATACCAACATCTATTTATTATTTGTCGTTATTTGTCAGAGTTTTCCTTTTTTGCTGCTTGATATTTATCAGACATTAATGATCGATTTCGAACAACTGAATTGAGTAGGGTTTCCATTACCTGTTTTCAAAAAAATTGAATAGAGGGAGCATATCATTTCAAGAAAAATGATTTTTAGTAATAGAAATTTGTAATAAATTTTAAAATTATTATTATAATTTATTATAATTATGATAAATTTAAAAAATTAATTATAGATATATATATATATTTAATATGAATAAAAAAATTTATCATAAAAAATATATTTCATTCCTTAAAAATGTTCATAAAGATAAAATAAGTTTTTGTCGATAAAAATCATCATTATAGTACATTACAATTATGATAAAATTTTAATATTGGTCACATATACCTTACACATTCAATGATGACCAAATAATTTATCACTAAAAAATATATTTCGTCATTAAAAATTACCAATTTTCTCTAATCAATACATCCTACATCGATAAAAAACAAATAAGAAAATAAGTTTTGCACTATAAATATATTCCACATCGATATGAAATATTTAAGAAAATAAATTTTTACACTATAAAACATGTGAAACTCAATAAAAGTTGAGATTAGTTTTGACCTAATTAATTTTAATTGGACTTGGTTAATTTTAATTGGGTTTGATAATTTTAATCAAAATTGATTAGTATTGAAATAATAATATTTTTTTATTAAACTTTTGTGATAAATTTATATTTTTTTTGACAAAATTTTTGTTAAAATATTTGTGTTATAATTATATAAATATCTTTTTT